AATTCAATATAATTACAACCACAATTATAACAAAAGTACCTCACAATAATTTCAAATGTACCTTACTCCCAATTCTGCAACTCCTCCACATCAAAGAAAGAAGAAGAGAGTTTAATTTCAAATAAAATATTACTTTCAATTCAAAAGCCTTTAGTAACAAGAGTCCAATAAAGTATTTAAAATTGTACTTTCTTTTGTGCCACGTGATTGTCTTTCTCCAACCAAAAAATACTCCAAATTCAAGTCCACTTTCGAATAAATAAAGTTTGATTCCCAATATCAAAGGTTCCAATTAGTAAAAATACTCTATATCAACTAATAACAACATCTAAAACATTTCAAAATAAACTCCAACATATCATATTACAACCAATTAATTTTTCAATTAATTTTGAAAAGTTTATAGTTGCTTGATCTCTATATGGATATGTGACATTATCTTAAAAATTTACTAGTTGTGATGTAAACAATAACTATTAAAAATATATGATTTAAATTATATATGCAAAATAAAAAATGGACATGTACTCTTTGTACACATTTTAAAAACATTGACCAAGGAGGATTCCTAGATGTGAGGTGATTCTTTTTCTATTAATAATTATAATTTTACAATCTAATATATAGTTTGAAATAGACGATATTAACTGCGAAACCGCTAGCTTTCTCTAGACCTAAACTACAACTAACTCTACACATCAGTGGCTCCCTAACACCTCAGTTGCCAGCTAAACATAGTAAATTTGAATTGTATTATGTAAACATTAAGTTGAGTATATAAAAATTACCCTTTTCTCTCTCTTTTTCTTTTTCTTTTTCTTTTTTTATTAAACGTAATAAAATTACCTTTTACTTGCAGAAAAAATACATGTATTTTGCATTTAGGCGCTAACATTGATATTCCCCATTTTATCCTTTTTTTTTTTTTTGAAAATAAAAAAGAAATCTCAACTGGTTTTAACTTTTTATGAGGAACAAAACAAATGGAGTGGACTTCATTGCCAACATTTTAAAATGCAGGAATTAAAATGGAACAAAAGAAAATTTAGAATCAATCCCGCAGATTTTGACACATGTTGATTTCTTGTTTAACTCTCATCTCATCTTCCTTATGCTATAATCTCTCCTTATCAATCCACAAATCTGCGGCTGCCATTGCTCATAATATATAGAGAAAAGATGAGGAATAATTGATATAGTAAAATGAAAGATAGATAAGCAAAATAAGGAAAGTCTCCATTAGCTCTCTGTATAAATTTTTTGTAAAAAAATATAAGGATTGTTTAGTAAAAATTGAAAGAAAATTTTCTCAATATATAGTATTCCTCCAATAATTGTAAGAAAATCTAAGGATTACAGAACACTTTTACAGAGAATTATGGGGAGAAAAAGTTAGAGGTTGAAGAAGACAATATCATGGACTAATCCAAAGTGAAACAGAAAGCTGTTAAATACCCTAACCCAATTAGAACGACAATGCGTAATTAATCCTACTTGGCAGCCATATCTTCATCTAGGTCCGCATTCCTTGTTTACCACGTACCAGATGATGATTTTTCTCAGCTCAGCAAAATCCTAGACTGCAATTTGTGTAGGTGGGCATGAAACTGTTGACGATGACGATACCCTAATGGACGATATATCGAAGATTGAAATTAACGAGGAATACGCTCGCAGGTTCGAGCACAACAAGAAGCGCGAGGCTCTGCAGAGATATGAGGAGCTCGACAAGAAAGGTCGCATCCAAGAATCAATTGAATCCGATGAGGAATTAGAGTCTGAATCATCTTCTGAAGAAGAAGATCTCGATGGCGTGGTTGGCTCCAAAAGGAAGGATTCAGAGTTCTTCGATGCTTTAATCAAGGTGAGAAATCAATTCAAACTAGTTATTAACATTTGTTTCGGCCTCGTTTAGATTGAATGAAATATATGCGTTTGCTGATAATCTAGGGTTTCAGAATGTTCAAGCTCAGGGTATTTCCTTTACTTTTCTATTAATAACTGTGGCACCTGTAAATTTCAACAAATTTTCTTGAACTGGAGGTAATCAATTAATGACTTGTTTCTTTCTCTTAAACCACTAATTAAGGTGCAGAACCAAGATCCTAGATTGAAGCAGAAAGATGTCAAGCTTTTTGAGTCTGATGATGATGAGAGAAGTGAACAGGAAAGTAAGCAAAAGGAAAAGACAGAGAAGAAAGCAGTATTTTTGAAGGATGTAGTGGCAAACCAGTTGATTGAGAAACGGCCAGAATTAGAGGAGGAAGATTCTAATGATGAGCAGAAAAATAAGAAAAAGAGTTATAGCGAGGAGCAGGAAGAGATAAAGAAGGCTTTCCTGGATGCAGCACATGAAGTTGATTGTGATTATGATGATGGAGATGATTTCTTGCGAGTGAAGAAAAAAGAAAATATAGATGAGGAAGGAAAAGAAGAGTTGGATGATGGAGAATTAGCAAGGAAGTTGGAAGAATATTTTGGTAGGGATACGGGAATGGATGAGAACCAAATGTTCTTGAATGAGTTTTTCATGAAAAAGATGTAGCAGGACAAGAAGGGGGCTAATGATATGGTGGATGATGAGGAGGTGGATGAATTGTTAAGGAACGAGGAGGAGATTGAGAAGCAAGAGGGGTATGAGTTGGAGTATAATTTCAGGCATGGGGAGAATGCTAGGGATAGAATAATGGGTTACTCTAGGAAGATTGAAGGATCAGTGAGGAAGAAGGAGAATGCAAGAAAGGAGCAGAGAAGGAGGAAGCAGGAGAGGATGATGATTGCAGAGATGGAAAGGAAGGAAGAACTGAAGCATTTGAAGAATTTGAAGAGGGAAGAGATGAAGTTAAAAATGAAAAAGGTCATGGAAATTGCATGGATTAAGGAAGATGATCAATGCTTGTTTGGTATGAAGGAATTTGATCTCGACAAGTATGATAAGATGATGAAGGCTATCTTTGATGAAAAATATTATGCTGCCGAGGATGAGGAGTTTGGTAGTGATGAGGATGTGATTGAGAAACCAGACTTTGATGAAGAGGATAAGCTGCTTGGACTCCCTAAAGGTTGGGATGTGCTTGAGTCTGGTGATGGATTCTTAGCTACAAGGGAAAGGATTTTAAAGCAGAAATCAGAGTGCATTGGTGATGGTGATGCTAAAGTAGAAGAAGATGAAGAAGAATAAAGTCAAGAAAAAGGAGAAGAGAGAAAATAAGAGGATACTATGGAAGGTAAGCAGAAGAGGAAGCGTAAAATGTCCCTTGTACAGAGAGCTAAACAGGAAATGCTGGAAGAATTCTATAAGTTGGATTATGAGGATACAATCGGAGACCTTAAAA